ATACATTGAAATTCAATGGGGTCCAAACAACACTGGACCACACTGACTTTCATTGTATGGACAAAAACACTGAAACAATCGTACAGGTTTGGAATGAGATGAAGTTGACAAACTGATGACAGAACAATGAATATGCATGAAATTGTTAATGCAAACATATCTGTGTGTGCGCATGTGTTGCAAAATGTATGAAAGCTATCACTTTTGTACCTCGAAATGGTACTAAATTTACATTAAATGGTGCACATTAGTACCTTAAAGGTACATATTAGTACATTTAGTACTTAGTTTGAAAGGATACCACGCCAGTGAAAGCTTTCATACCTTTATTATTTTTACAGAATAATCAATATACATGAAATTGATAGCGCAAACCTATTTGTGTATGTGTTGCAAAAATGTACAAAAGCTGTCATTGGGGTTGTACCTTATTTACCCCTAAATGGTACATATTAGTACCAAAAATCTCCATATTAGTTCCTATTTTAATAGAGTACCACCCCAGTGAAAGCTTTTATACTTAGTTTTCATGAAAAACTGTCTGACTCACCATCTATCCTCTCTCCCTCCCTCCCTCTCTCAGGTAAAACATGTCGTCATCATCTAGATGCTGCGCAACAGGGGTGTTCGTCCTCCCCTCGCTACTTCTTCTGCCTCTTTTCCTTTCTCTCGTTTGTGGAGTTCAAGGGGCCACGCTAAGGGAGCATCGCCTGAGCGGAAGTGAACCCGTCTCTTATGGACCTGTGTCCCAGATCCGTCCTCCTCCGAGTGCCGAGATGCTCAGAGCTCTACGTTACATCCAAAGCCTCAGCCAGAGAACCCCACCTGATCCTCTTGACGACGAGCGCCAGCAAGACACTTCAGACGACATGGAGAGCGTTCGCTCCATGCTGCAACTGGCAGCCCCTGCCCGGATGGATAGAGGCATGGAAGAAAGTGAGGAAAGCGAGAATGATAAAACTCAAGACTTGCTGCAAGCGGTTCTTACCACACTACAACAGACCGAGGAACACATGGTGCCCCAAAAAAACTCCCAGAAGGTCATCGCACCATCTCAACCTCGATACGCCGTCCACCCCTTCCCAAGACCAAAACAACAACTAGAAAGGGAAACTTCGTCTGAGAATTACGGAAGGTCCTCGTGGACAAATCCAGATAGCCGGAGGCGGCACTGGAAGTTCCCACTCATGTTTGAGGATGAGGAGGGTCAGGAGCAGCCTCTCAAACGGACCAACGAGAATGCAGAAGAACAGTACACACCCCAGAAGCTGGCGACCCTTCAATCTGTGTTTGAGGAACTGAGTGGAATCTCCGCATCTAAGGTCAACAGCAAACGGGAGGATGGTGAAGATGACGATAATGATAATGACTTGTACAGGCAGAGGAAGATGGTCTTGGAGGACATCATGGGAACTGATGAATGGGCACCTTTGGAGGAACAAACAGAGGCCAAAGAGGAAGAAAGAGAGAGGCATGGGTTTAATCGCAACCTTGAGGATGATGAGCAAGAGGAGGACGAAGAAGACGATGATGTCAAGAGATCCAACCAACCCGACTGGTTCCAAACAGGAAAAGAGGAGGAGTCTGAGGACATTGCAAAGCTTGTGGACTACTATCTTCTGAAAATCCTAGAAAAGAAAGAGCAGGAGCAGCAGAAAAGACAAGAGGCCAGCAAGAGCGAGCAAGAAAGCGACCGAGAGGTGGAGAAAAAAGATGCGGATGAAGACGAAGACGAAGAGGAGGACGACAAGGACGAGAGGGAAATTGAGCCCGTGCACAGCACACTCCCTGAGTCTTTGTCCCAGATCATCAAAATCTCACAGAAGCTACAAATCCCAGCGGAGGAAGTTCTTGAGCTTCTCCAGAACGAGAAGCAGAAGGATTTATTCAGAGTCCCAACAAAGTCACGCACGCCATACGCAACTGCTCACAAGACCTTTGCCGCATCACCTCACCGGCGGCCGCTCGAGGCATCGGAGGGCAACAGCGTCGCCCAGGACATCATGAACATCCTTGAGCTGGTAAACGCAGTGCAACAAAACAACCGACCAGCGCAAGCGAAAACGTCAAGTTATTACGAGAGGGAAACCAGCAGGGATGATTATGACGACACTGCTGGTGAGGAAGATGAACTTGCTAATTACCTGGCGTCGGAAATGTCCACGCATGGACAGAGACGTGCGCGGAGGAAGTTCTTGAGCTTCTCCAGAACGAGAAGCAGAAGGATTTATTCAGAGTCCCAACAAAGTCACGCACGCCATACGCAACTGCTCACAAGACCTTTGCCGCATCACCTCACCGGCGGCCGCTCGAGGCATCGGAGGGCAACAGCGTCGCCCAGGACATCATGAACATCCTTGAGCTGGTAAACGCAGTGCAACAAAACAACCGACCAGCGCAAGCGAAAACGTCAAGTTATTACGAGAGGGAAACCAGCAGGGATGATTATGACGACACTGCTGGCGAGGAAGATGAACTTGCTAATTACCTGGCGTCGGAAATGTCCACGCATGGACAGAGACGTGCACGTCTGACGCCATTACGTGACGAGGATCAGCCCGTGTACGAACGTGCTGACTACTTCGACAAAGGTGCGCCAGAAAAAGGACCTGCGAATCACAAGAACGCAGCAGCGGGATTAGACAACAACACAATGCTGCAAATCCTGCGGTATCTGGATCCGGAGAGCGACAATGCCGACGAAACAGACTCTGAGGGGAAAACAGTCCCTGAAATGTAGATGTGTAGATAACGATTATATTCATTGTTTGAAGTTTGTCATATAATAAAATATTTTGAAACAAATATATCCCCTAATTGCGTTTAGTCAATGTAGTGCTCCAGCTTTTCTCATTCCTTGTTCTGTATAGCAAAAAAAAGAGTATTTTAGTAAACCCAATGAATTTGTTTCTTAGATAGCGAATAGAACAATGTAAAAAGTAGCCGGCTTTACCTCTTCAACATATGAACACACAGATTTTCTCCCTCTTAATGACGCCAGTTATGTTTTCAGTCAGTAAGTATCTTGTGTGTGTGATGAGGTCATGCGTGACGTGGCAGAGGTAAATAAAGCATTTGTTCACACCATGGTCCTCTGTGTAATGCTTCTCTTACTGCCGAGCAACCTCTGCAAACTTTTCATGACATACAATCTCTTTTTTGTTTGTTTTTTGGTGATTGGTTTCTGTTTCATGTGTGACCGGGGTCATAACATCCTCAAAATGCATTTACATTTGAGTCATGAAAATTTGGTTATATATTTAAATGCATGTATAGAATGAGCTGCATTCGTGCTACTACAATTCATACAAACTGTTATTAAAATGCATTTTATTATTTAATTAAAATAAAAACATTCCAGATTTGGATCAATAGCTTGGCCAGTCCTTCCAACACAACATTTTTTCTTTCAGTTTCAGTTCAATCTAAGATCTGTCTGAGAGTTACAGACGGATTGTCTGCACAAAATAAAAAATAACATCAAAATAAAATTTACTGCACAATGAACAGAAACCAGAGGGCTAATTTCACAGTGTATTCAAATATCCCACATGTACACTACCGTTCAAAAGTTTTAAGATTTAAAACTTTAGTTTTTAAAAGAAGTTTCTTCAAAAACACAGTAAAAGCAGTAATATTCTGAAATATTATTACAATTTAAAATAACATCTATTTGAATATATTTTAAAATGCAATTTATTCCTGTGATGCAAAGCTGAATTTTCAGCATCATTACGCCAGTCTTCAGTGTCACATGATCTTCAGAAATCAAGAACAGCATTTATTTGAAATCTTTTGAACATTATGAATGTCTTTACTGTCACGTTTGATCAATTTAATGCATCCTTGATTAATGAAAGTATACGTTTATTTAAAAATATATATATACTGACTCCATTAGTGTCCATGAGTGTATCTCTCCCTGATTGTCTAAAACCAAATGTGCTACATATTAAACTCCTATAATTTAATAATAGTATTCTCACTATCTCAAAAGTAGTTTGAAATGCTTACTAATGCAAAGTGTTGCTATTTCAGTGTTGTGACTTTGTATGGAAGCTCAATTAAATACATTCAGCATATGAAGTTCTTGTTGTTGTGTCTTTGAGGAGTGAGGTGATGGCTGTGATGTTCCTTCAGTATGTGGGTTTGTTTAAATACTCCTCCATCGTCTGTCAAAAGATGAGGACAAAACACAATGTCTCTGAGTTATATTTGACCAGTGTAAGAATTAAATACATATATTCATGAAGTTATAACATTCATGAATGCCTCTGTAATAATTTATTTGAAAAACAAACAGTCGAGCAGACAGGATCAGGTTGTGTACATATAGTACACACACATCTGTGAAAACATGATGAATCACCACCTCAGCAAGCTTGTGTGTGTGTGTGTGTGTGTGTTTCACCTCCTGAAGAGAATCTGCCTCCTCCATTGATTTGGCCACAGATGCTTTGGATGTCTCCTGCACCTCTCCACCAATAATAAACTCATCCAGGATAAAGTATGCCTTCTCAAAGTTAAAAATAATGTCTAATTCACACACCTGCAACACATGCAAACAGATCTAGATGCCAAAAACATAAAAACATGACTCACACCATTCAGAAAACACATTAACATGCTCTTGATTACATCAAAGTCTTACCAAGAGGATGAGTAATATTACTCTATATATGCCATATATATATATATATATATATATATATATGCCACACTGTTCAAAAGTTTGAGATCGGAAAGATTTTTTAATGCCTTAGATTAGAAAGAAGTCTCTTTTGCTCACCAAGGCTGCATTTTTTTTTAACCAAAAATACGATAAAAACAGCAAAATTGTAAGATATTATTAGAATTTAAAATAAGTGTTTTCTATTTGAATAGATTTTAAAATGTAATTTATTCTTGTGATGCAAAGCTGAATTTTCAGCATCATTACTCTAGTCTTCAGCATCACATGATCCTTCAGAAATATACGTTTATTTAAAAATATATATATACTGACTCCATTAGTGTCCATGAGTGTATCTCTCCCTGATTGTCTAAAACCAAATGTGCTACATATTAAACTCCTATAATTTAATAATAGTATTCTCACTATCTCAAAAGTAGTTTGAAATGCTTACTAATGCAAAGTGTTGCTATTTCAGTGTTGTGACTTTGTATGGAAGCTCAATTAAATACATTCAGCATATGAAGTTCTTGTTGTTGTGTCTTTGAGGAGTGAGGTGATGGCTGTGATGTTCCTTCAGTATGTGGGTTTGTTTAAATACTCCTCCATCGTCTGTCAAAAGATGAGGACAAAACACAATGTCTCTGAGTTATATTTGACCAGTGTAAGAATTAAATACATATATTCATGAAGTTATAACATTCATGAATGCCTCTGTAATAATTTATTTGAAAAACAAACAGTCGAGCAGACAGGATCAGGTTGTGTACATATAGTACACACACATCTGTGAAAACATGATGAATCACCACCTCAGCAAGCTTGTGTGTGTGTGTGTGTGTGTGTTTCACCTCCTGAAGAGAATCTGCCTCCTCCATTGATTTGGCCACAGATGCTTTGGATGTCTCCTGCACCTCTCCACCAATAATAAACTCATCCAGGATAAAGTATGCCTTCTCAAAGTTAAAAATAATGTCTAATTCACACACCTGCAACACATGCAAACAGATCTAGATGCCAAAAACATAAAAACATGACTCACACCATTCAGAAAACACATTAACATGCTCTTGATTACATCAAAGTCTTACCAAGAGGATGAGTAATATTACTCTATATATGCCATATATATATATATATATATATATATATGCCACACTGTTCAAAAGTTTGAGATCGGAAAGATTTTTTAATGCCTTAGATTAGAAAGAAGTCTCTTTTGCTCACCAAGGCTGCATTTTTTTTTAACCAAAAATACGATAAAAACAGCAAAATTGTAAGATATTATTAGAATTTAAAATAAGTGTTTTCTATTTGAATAGATTTTAAAATGTAATTTATTCTTGTGATGCAAAGCTGAATTTTCAGCATCATTACTCTAGTCTTCAGCATCACATGATCCTTCAGAAATCATTCTAATATGCTGATTTGCTGCTTAAGAAGCATTTCTTATTACTATCAATGTTAAAACAGATATGCTACTTCTATTTTTGTGTAAACTGTGAAATATTTAATTTTTCAGGATAATTTGGTGAATAGAACAGCACAGCATTATATAATAATATATTACATATAAATACATTCTAAATGTCTTTACTGTCACTTTTGATCAATTTAATGCATCCTCGCTGATTAAAAGTATGAATTTATTTAAAAACTCTAAATAAACTATAGTTTTTAACCTTACATTGCCAAAGTACTGATCCAGCAGCTCGACGTATCTGTGCAGAAGCTCCAGTGTGAGCAGCTCATTGTCCCCTTGCTCCAAACCACAACAGAAATACAGACTCGCATACCTGCAGGACAGAGGTCAGAGGTCAATGTCACTGGGTTTCAAGCTGCTCTGAGTGACTAAATGTTTTTACATACAACACACAATCACAGGCTGATCCTGGATCAGTATACTTTTAAAAATACACATTTTTCACTGGTTCTTTTCATAAGCATTTCATCTTCAAATAAGGAACCATATTTAGTTGAATAGAGCTTCCTAAGGAACCTTTTTAAGAAAAGGAATCATATGAACTTAAAGGACTATTAAGCCCTTTTGCAGCCAGCCATTATTTGTCAGTGTGTACTGCTACCATGCAAAGTTCCCTTAATCTAGGACAGCAGAAATGCCACAAGATGCATCAGGTTCAAATACAATTGCTCTGCAGGTCAAAGTTCAACATGCAAATGTTCTAGTAGTTTTAGTATCTTTGGACTATGCCAAATTACGATACTTTAATGTGCAAAGATCTAAAAAGGTGCATGCAGACAGACTGTAAATGCACCATAATGCTTTAGGGCTTGATGGCTGATCATTAACTTGCGGCAAAGGTCGAGTTAAATTATTCTATGGGAGAGAGCGACAGAGTCGGAAAGTTACAGAAAGCATTGTAATGCAGAGGAAAGCACATGCGATAAGAAGGTGACCTCTGACCTCCTGTAGACGATCTTCAGATCCCTCCACTGCAGGAAGTTGCAGGACTTCGGCGGTCGCGCCAGCACCATTTGCGTGACGTCTCTTATGATCTTCTTCTTGTCACGATCGCTGAAAGCCGTGAACCATTTCTGCAGCCGGAGCTTCCCCTGACGACTGAACAGCAGCAGGAAACGCATCTACAGCGGAGACACAAATTAATTTGTCCTGAAAATGTATGAAAGCTTCATTAAGCTGCTTTTGGGAATGTGATAAACTATGTGAAGTATTGACCTGAATACAACACAAAACACACACAGGTAAAATACCACATGCTTTGTCATGGTCGGAATGTCAAACAACGCAGGACTATCGCAGTTAAAGTATAACTAGGAGTAATAATATAGGGAAACTGTGTGCTCTCACACACACACACACACACGTTTCCAGCAGCACATACTGTCAGTATCTTACAGACACACTAATAACACAGAGAGTCCGTGATGAACGTAAGACTCCTCACCGAGACCCCAGTGGGAATCTGTGTTTGACATTTTAGGCCTGTTGCCAAGAGCTTGCATCACTGTTGCCACCAAACACATAAACACACACACATACATACATAACACATGCTTACCTAGTTAAATGAGGACATGCCTTAGAGCGTTATTGCTATTAAATTGCAATTTTGTAAATATGAAATATACTACATGAAATATTTACATCGTCATTCCTTTGTCAAATTTTGTCAAATAATTGCTATTAAATAACAAAGCATATA